GCTTTCTTATATATACATTTAGGGTTTTACTATATCTTGTAAGAACAAATTATACTCTGAAAAACTAACCTCCTTTAATAAAGTATTCTTTTTGAATTTTTGTATTTTTCTTCATTGTTTATCAATCTGTTAATCTGATTCTTCTCGCATCAGTCATAACAAACTGGTATCAGAGCCTCTGGTTGAATCTGGTGAGAAGATACCTAGGATAAACGTAAAGATCGACAAGTTTACTGGAAGGAACAATTTCAGGCTCTGGCAAATCAAGATAAAGGCGTTACTGAAGTAACAAGGTCTTTGGGCACCGTTGCCAGGGAACAAGGTTGAACTTGTTACTACTGAGATGGAGGTTACTGAAGTGAAGGCGTATTCAACGATTTTGTTGTGTCTGGCAGATGAGATCATCATCAAGGTTTCTGGTGTTGATGCTACAGCTGATTTGTGGTCGAAGTTAGAGAGTCTATACAGACGAATTCTCTGACTAACAAGATACTTCTGAAACAACATATTTTTGCTCTGAGGATGCAGGAAAGTACACAACTTCAAGATCACCTTGATAGTCTAAATTCCATTATGTTGGATCTGAGGAATATTGATATTAGGGTGGAAGATGAGGATGCATCACTGATTTTGCTGGTGACATTGCCTAACTCATATGAGAACTTTGTTCAGTCATTCATAGGGATTAAGGATACAGTGAGTTTGGAGAAAGTCAGGTCGGCACTTCATAGCAAGGAGTTGCGTCAGAAGACATCAAGTTCTGGTACAGATGATCAAGCTTCTGGGTTATTTGTAGGCGGTGGAAAGAACTGTGAAAAAGATAAAAGATCATTTACAAAGGGTCCTAAGCCAACTGATATTTGAAATTATTGCAATGAAAGAGGACATTGGAAGTTTGATTGTCCTAAGAAAAAGAAGAAGCAAGCTGATTCCGCTGTTGTAGCAGAAAATGAAGCAAAGTCTGATGACGATATTGCTCTAGTTGCTCATGGAAAAACATATTCTAGAGATGTGTGAGTTCTAGACACATGAGCATCTTATCATATGTGTCCAATGAGGGAATGGTTCTCAGAGTATGAGAAAGTGACTGATAGCAAGATCAAGATGGCAAATGACTTCGTATGCGATGTTGCAGGAATCGGTTCTATAAAGTTCAAGGCACATGATGGTAGAGTCTGCACATTGAACGAAGTTAGACATGTTCCAGCTATGTCCAAGAACTTACTCAGTTAGTCTTTTGGATAGCAGAGGTTTCAAGTATTCAAGTGGAGATGGAGTTCTGAGTGTCTACAGGGGTTTATATGTGTTTCTGAGAGGTTTCATTCATGGTACTCTGTATTTGCTGGAAGGTTCTACAGTTTCAACAAATGGTATGGAATTTTGTTCATCAGAGTTCAATCAGTTTTGTAAGGATGCAACAGTTACTAAGCATCTTACAGTCAGAAATACACCACAGCAGAATGATGTAGAAGATATAATGAACCAAACTTTACTGATAGAAACGAGGTGCATGTTTTTTAGTGCATGTTTGGAGAAGAGGTATGGGGCTGAAGCAGAGAATGGGATTTTGACAAGCAGGTGAAGCTGCAGGACGAGCAGTCGGATTAACCGCGTCGATCGATGACGTATCATTAGTGTCGATCGACGTCGGATGTTCAGTGTCGATTGACGTCGGATGTTCAGTATCGATCGACGTCGGATGTTCAGTGTCGATCGACGTCGATGCTCAGTGTCGATTGACGTCGGATGTTCAGTGTCGATCGACGTCGGATGGTCAGTATCGATCGACATCATATCGAATGATTCTTGTCTGTCGACCAAGGATCGAACGATCCACATACATGGGATCGAACGATCGATGTCAGACAAGCTGTCAGAATTCTCTACTTCTGAAAATCAACGTGTTGGGTTTGAAAAGTGCTAGAGATAAACACGGAGAGCTAATGTCAGACCACCAGAGATATCACTTTATTGATATGGTGGGCTATGCACTACAAGTTGCAGAGGAAGTGGATACTTATGAGACATTCACTTACATAGAAGATGTTTCTAGTTCTAAGTCTGAGAAGTGGTTTGCTGCAATGGAAGATGAGATTGATTCTCATGAGAAGAATCATACATGGGATTTGGTCACACTATCACTTAGGAGAAAGGTTGTAACTCGCAAGTGGTACAAGAGGTATGACAGCTATATGGTCAAGTTGGGCTACGACATGAGTCCTTATGACTGTTGTATTTACATGAGCAAGGTGGAGAATGGATCGTATATTTACCTAGTGTTGTATGTAGATGACAAGCTGATAGCTGCTATGAAGATTTATGATGTTTAGAAGCTGAAAGTGCTGCGGAATTCTGAGTTTGAGATTTTTTGGTATCTTAAGGGTACATCTGATGTTTGTCTTGTCTACAGAAAAAAGGATCCGAGCCTGGTTATAGGTTATTCTGATTGGTATTATGAAGAAGATGTGGACAGCAGGAGATCTATGACTGGTTACATATTTACTTTTGGTGGTTTTATTGTGAGCTGGAAGGCGACTTTGCATTCGAGGGTGACTTTGTCTACTAATGAGGCAGAGTATATGGCATTGACAGAAGCTGCTAAAAAGGCAATATGATTGAGAGGATTGGTCAGTGATCTTGGTGTTCATCATGATCAGGCTATTGTGTTATGTGATAGCTTGAGTGTTATCTGTTTAGCCAAGGATTAGGTTCATCGTGAGAGAACTAAGCATATTGATGATAGAAACCATTTTCTAAGAGATTGGAAGAGGATCGAAGTGAAGAGGGTATGAATAGTTGATAATCATGCGGACATGTTCACTAAACCAGTTTCTCATAGCAAGATTAAGCATTGTCTTGACTTGTTGAATATCACAAACTGTTAAATCTGGCCTTTATGGGCGTCTGGCCCAAGTGAGGACATCTGGCTCTGAGGAGCATCTGGGCCGACATGACATCTCACATCTGAGGCAAAGAGAGAGTCTGGTACATTTGAGGCAAAGAGAGAGTCTGATACATCTGAGCACGAAGAAATGCATTATGGTACATCTGATTATAGAGAATTCAAGTCAAGGTGGAGATTTGTTGAAATATGCCTTGAATATGTGTTTTGACATAGATCGATCGATCCAGGAGATATGGATCGATCGATCTGATCTGAAACAGATCGGTTGATCTGTGTCAAATCCAAAATATATGGAAAATTTCATTAAACGCTTTTCTTATATATATCTTTAGGTTTTACCATATTCTATAAGCACGAATTGTGCTCTAAAAAACTAGCCTCCATTAATAAATTACTATTTTTCTCCGTAAATTAAACCATGTTAAATTTTTATGTCTTTCTTCGTTAGTTATCAGTCTGTTAATCTAATTCTTCTCATATCCGTCATAACATTTACAGATTTAACTACCTATTTTTCCCACTAAAATTTTCCAAGTAGTTTTTGTAGTAATGCATCAAGACCAAAATAGTCAAAATATTAACCAAAATTAATATTTCTAATTATTGTAATATTGCTTTAAAATTTATTTACTTTGAAAATTGATATTTAAAACTTTAATTAGTTACACTGTTTAAAAATAAAAATAAAAATACCTTAACTAATTCAAAAAAATTAAAAACAAAACCAAAATTAATAAAGACAAATCTCCAAAATAGCATATTTCTAAGTTTATGTCAAAAAAATAGCCCTCAAAAACTAAAATGACCAAAATAGCTTTTTATCTTTTGAAAGTTTTCAATTTTTTTATTTTTCAAAAATTGAAATTTTATCCCAAACCCCACTCCCCAACTCTAAACCCTGAAACCTAAATTCTAAACTCTAAACCCTAAACTCTAAATCCTAAGCCCTAAACCATAAATCCTACCCCTTAACTCTAAATCCTAATGTCTAAATTAATTTATCATTAGGATATAAGTATATATTTATCTCTTTTGATAAAATATTAAGTGATATTTTGGTCATTTTTATTCTTAAGTGGTATATTTATGATAAAAAACTTTTTTAGTGTTATCGTAGTCATTTTCTCATTAATAAATAAATTAGTATTTTTTATCAATATGTGGGAAAATTATAAAACATATAAATCTTTCTTGTTAATCGATCTATTTAAAAAACAGTGACTAAATTAAAAATAAAATAAAAACTATGGGGTGAGATTTAATTTGACCAAATATAGAGGGTGTTCGAATGAAAGAGTTGAGCTTCGAAGAAAAAATAAAGAGAGAATTGCATAAATACACATTTTTTTTGTACATTAATTCAAATTTATCCTAAGAAGGGAGACATTTTCAAAAATACACTTTTCATTAAAGGATAAATCACTCTTATACTCTTGTTTTTTATATATATAAAATAAATATTTAAATAAAAAAAACACAAAAGACAAAAAAAAATTATTTTTTTTGAATTATACTATTTCGAAATTCAAACCCTAAACTCTAAACCCTAAACTCTAAGCCCTAAACCCTAAACTCTAAACCCTAAACCCTAGAAATCAACCTTAACCTCTAAAATATCAATTTTAAACCCTAAACTCTAAACCTTAAATTCTAAACCCTAAATCTTAAATTCTAAACCCTAAATTCTAAACCCTAAATTCTAAACCCTAAACCCTAACCCTAAAATTCTAAACCTTAAACCCTAAATTCTAAACCCTTAATTCTATACCCTAAACCCTAAATTCTAAATCTTAAACCCTAAATTCTAAACTCTAAACCTAATCCATCAAAACCTTATCAAAATTGTTAAGTTTATTAATTAAGGATATAATAATATTTTGACTATTAAAATTTTAATGGTAATATTGGTTAGTGTAAAGTTGAAAAGTGATATCTTTTAATTGTTATTTCTAGCAATTTCCCAAAAATAAAACTTGAGATCATCTTCATGGACCTCTATAAATAAGGTTCCTGCATTTTCGGATCGTTTCAACATTATAATCTCTCATTTAAAAAAAAAAAGAAAAATAATTCACAAAGTTAATCTTCTATAGCGATGGCGACCAAAGTGTATATCGTGTAAGTAAAACTCTTTATTTCGATCTAATCTTCTTAATAGTCTGTTCATCATGCTTCTCCTTCTCATTTAACTGTAGCGACTTGATTTGATTTTTGCAATGTCGATCGAAGAATATTTATGTGCTTCTTAATTTGTTTTTCTTTTCTCTTGCTTTTGCTGTTCTGTAATAACCATGGGTGGGATGATAGTTTAAACTCTTCTTAATTTGGTAAAATTTCGATTGCTTTGTGATTGGGTTTGATCTCAAGTTTGACATTATTATATTTGCAGGTACTACTCAATGTACGGTCATGTGGAGAAATTAGCTGAAGAGATAAGGAAAGGAGCTGCTTCAGTTGAAGGTGTCGAAGCCAAACTATGGCAGGTGAGTCGTCATAGATACTAATTTTATGTGTGTGTGTGTCTTGAACCAAGTGACTTTATTGTTCAGTGAGAATCTATGTTAAAAGGGATGGTATAAGTGGCTACCAAGTCATTTTAACACTAGGGTTCGATTCTATAAGTAGTTTGTGTGTGTGTGTATCTCCACTGCCATTTCCAAGTTTCTTGATTTTTTTTTTTTTTTGGATTCTTGACTCTCATGTCTTTCCTTTAGCTTAGCTAGTTTAGATACTAATTTTCTCTAGGTCACAATAACCTGTGTTGCAGCTTTAGTTGAAATGCTGTGTGTCACAGGAGTTTTCAAAATCACAATAGTCGTACTCTAACACAAATCCATGTGAATTATTGAACGTGATGAATTTGCTGTTATCACAGGTACCAGAGACGCTTCCAGAAGAAGCACTCTCTAAGATGAGCGCACCACCAAAGAGTGAATCACCAACCATCACACCAAACGACCTAACTGAAGCTGATGGGTTTGTCTTTGGATTCCCAACAAGGTTCGGTATGATGGCTGCTCAGTTCAAAGCCTTCTTGGACGCAACCGGTGGACTCTGGAGGACTCAGTCACTCGCTGGTAAACCAGCTGGTATCTTCTACAGCACTGGCTCTCAAGGTGGTGGCCAAGAAACCACCGCGTAAGCCCCTCTCATCCAAAATAAACAAACACACACTTCACATCATCATCTCTTGTCTCTATGTTAATAACTTATTTTCTCGTGTGGTAATTAATAGATTGACGGCGATAACTCAGTTGGTTCACCATGGGATGATATTTGTCCCCATCGGTTACACATTTGGTGCTGGAATGTTCGAGATGGAGAAAGTGAAAGGTGGAAGTCCCTATGGAGCTGGAACGTTCGCAGGAGATGGTTCAAGGCAGCCAACAGAGCTGGAGCTAGCGCAAGCGTTTCACCAAGGCAAGTACATTGCAACCATCACCAAGAAGCTCAAGGGATCTTCTACTGCTTAGAGATCTTTGGAAAAAGATAGCAATAAGAAGAAAAAAAAGAAAACAAGACCCGGTTTGGTTTCTCTGCTCTTTTTCCATACACAATCATATATTATTCTCTCTTCTTGTGATTTCTTTTGTGTTTTGATAATTATTTTCACAACAAGCATTCTTGTCTTGCTTTTACGTATTAGATATGTAATGATTTATACTTGTCTTGCACTATTTTCTTTCTTTGTTAAATTAAGAAAAACTTCAAAGGGTAAAATACAAAACACATATGAAAAAGATAAGAAACAAAAGCTAAAACTTGGTTCTGTAAGAACACATATCAAAGGAATTGATGAGCATTCCCGTAGTATCTGTTGATGAACCTATTCTTCTGCATGTTTCTAGCAAAGTCTGGTGAGTTCTGAGGGTAGAACTTGTACACTTTCATGTTTTCAAAGACTTGCCTAGTCTCTTGGCTCATCTCTTCAACCTCTCTCCTTCTAGCATCTCTAGCCTCTCTGTTAGCTCTCCTTGCTGCTCTTACACTCTCTTTAACAAACTCTTTGAACTCATCCTTTTGTTCCACAGATAACACTTCCTCTTCAATCCTTTGATTAGTAAACTCCTCGAGATTGTCTAACTCCCAGTCGAATACACAATAAACCGGCGGGTCAGATGGGAACAGTACATCGACCACAGTACTTTGAGGAATCTCATCTTCCTCCCTACCCGGTTTAAAGAAATAAGGAAGACAATACTCAAACTTCTTAACACGTTCCACCTTCATGTTTCTGAGAGCAGCTCTCCTCTGGTTACAGCACAAAGTGAAGATACGAGAGTTTGTTCTTTCGACTTGTTTGTCTCTTTCTTGTAAAGGGATGTAAGGAAACCAACCCATTCTCATCTCCTTCATGGTAATGGTTTCTTCCCTTGCGCTCTGTATGGATGCGATTGCTACCTTGTTAGAAGGCTCAATGGTTGAGTCTATGACAACAACCGTTGGGACATTGATGAGATGTTCTTGTTCCTTGTCGTCAACGAAGTGTTGTGGTTCTGCAAAACCGAAGACATAGACTTTCCTCTCATGGAGAAACCCTCCTTCCTCTAATGCTTCTTCTAGGTTTTTGAAATCCCAGTTGAATCTGTAGAGTGCATCTAAGTGTTCAAACTCTGTTCCCACTGGAAACGCAACTTTCCACAAATCTTCTAGGTTACGTTTCTCCTCAAAGTACTCTTCTTCTTGTGGTGGCTTGTTCCTCACGTCATCTTCCTCGCTTGTGTTCCTCTCTCTCATGGCTCCCTTCCTCATTATAAAGTGAACTAAGAAAGGAACAGAGAACGAAACAAGTCGAAAACTCTTTCAACGGCGAAGGAGGCAAAGAGATGATGATTAGTGAGTTGTGTTATTTCATTAACCTAAAGATGAATATTTATACGCAGCTAAGCTAACCCTAGGGGGAAATAGGAAAACTGTGTGTTTTTATGGCGTTAGTTCAACGCAACGAAAAAGAGGAGATTCAAGGTCTACTTATTATTTATCACTAGTGGTATACCGGCGCTACGCGCCGGATTCATATATGTTATTATAAAAGAAGTTGCGATTTATTTTGTGGCCTTGGTGAAGAGATTATGTTCAGAAATTATGTTCAGAAATTTGATGTTGTAACTATGTTGAAGACAATGATTTTTTCTGATTATTATTGGAGTAGCATAAGTGGTTGTTATTAATCGAAACAAATAAAAGTAGAGTAAAAATTTGATAGACTTTACAAATTTAATTTAGTAAATACTTAAACATAAAGTAAAGTTCATGTTTGTAAATGAAAAATGTAAATAGTTGTGTTTGTTTTGTGATTATGTTGTTTCAAGGAAGATAATATATAGTTCCGTCCTCTTAAAATAGTAACAATCCTAGACTGATCGTTTATATCTTATACACAAAATAGTAACAATCCTAGACTGATCGTTTATATNTTGTAAATGAAAAATGTAAATAGTTGTGTTTGTTTTGTGATTATGTTGTTTCAAGGAAGATAATATATAGTTCCGTCCTCTTAAAATAGTAACAATCCTAGACTGATCGTTTATATCTTATACACAAAATAGTAACAATCCTAGACTGATCGTTTATATCTTAAACGCCACCATTCTCGTGACCGTTAAAATCAAGTCCGGTGAGCATATATAGATAATCAGAGATACAAAAGGCGAACTTAAACCCTAAAGCTTCAAACATAGCTTCCATATGCTTAATGTCCTCTGCCATTGGTCCACCGTCAGGTGCGGTGTTTTCAGAGAACGTTCTTGTCCCGAACATAAGTTTCTTGATAGCATTGCCACAGTAGTGTATCAAAGAAATCTGATCGGATATCCAAAGTACTTGAACCTCTTAATCTTATTCCAGCAGCGATCGGATTTGATAGTGTGTGTTCCTAGTCAAGAATATCAAAGAAATATTTTCCTTCTTTGAGATTTCCTCTGCACAACATTACTAAACCCCAAAGATACATACCCTTATCATATTTTCCATAAGCAGATTGGCACATGTGAGGTGATTGAGTGCTTTGATTGATTTGTGGTGGAAGAAGTACTGATTTATTCCCTCACTATTAAGAGGAGCTTCATGTGATCGGTGTCCGATATGGGGGGAGGGGGGGGGGCTGGTGTGCGTGGTAGATATTTATCTTGTAGCCAAGGCTGCCGTGGTTCAGATACTGGAGGTAAAAAGATTAAAGAGTAGGAATAAGTACATAAAATTTTTACAAAAGAGTAAGTTGTCAAAGTCATAAAGAATTAGTTTACGTCTCCTTTGGACCAAATTTTTTTTCTTTTTATGACTTCTTTTGGTTACATATGATGATGATGCGGTGGAGTGTTCAGAAACACTAAGATTTTTGGGAGATCTCCCGTGGTTGCTTTGCCATTAAATTCAACTGGCGTCTTCACCATTATTTCTGAAAATCGTAATGGTTGAGTAATTAGGAATCAAGAGGTTGCATCAGAACTGTGTAGNGGAGTGTTCAGAAACACTAAGATTTTTGGGAGATCTCCCGTGGTTGCTTTGCCATTAAATTCAACTGGCGTCTTCACCATTATTTCTGAAAATCGTAATGGTTGAGTAATTAGGAATCAAGAGGTTGCATCAGAACTGTGTAGTGAAAGAATGTAGGAGATACGTAACTACTGGCTTTTGCAATTACACTGCATTTACAATGTGAGCTAATCATTCAGTTGGGAGGCGTGTAGGCACCCTGCAACGATAAACTTTAATTTGTAAGGTTATAGCTTCTTAAATCCAATTTTTTTTGTTAATTTTTAGCAGTTTGTTATTTATAAACTTGTTTTCTAAGCGTATAGGATGTGTCAATATAGGTTATATAAGCTCTGAAATGTGTCTAATTTTTTATGAGATGTGCAAGTGTTCATAATTTTCTGTAATGGTAACTTCTTAATTTTATTATTTTGTGTTAATTAATTATTATCAGTTTATTACTTATAAATTTCTCATCTAAAACCTTGTATATGTGGCAATCATTTTTTTGAACAGATTCTTATATATGTGGCAATCATATACCAAAGTGATATAAGCTCCGGCCTTTGTTTAAACAAAGTGATATAAGCTCTGCTCTTTGTTTATTTTTTAGAAGTTGTGCAAGTGTTCATTAGCTCTATAGTTTGTGTAATATTATATGAGTTATGAAAGTGTTCATAATTTTCTATGATGGTGTCTTCATAATTCTATTGATTTGTGTTAATTATTATCATTTGTTACTTTAAATTGTGTACACTAAAACGTCGAAGATGTTGCAATATGTGTAATACAAACTATGCACCTTGTTTGTTAGTTATAAGTTGTGCAAGTGTTAATTATTTTATATGAAATATAAGGATGCATGAGAACAAACTTACAAAAAAGTAAAAAAAAAAAACTTTACAAAAAGATGACCGTCGGTTTGATCTCTGAAACCTAAGGTAAGAAGACAATTTAACGGACTGAAATTGTGTGTAAATCTTAAAAAAGAATTCTGCAAGTTGGGTAATACATAAATCATTCTATAACTGGCAATTATCTTTTAAAGAGCCCAAACCCATTTTGTCAAAAATTCAAAAAATCAGAATGTGACAAACCGAGATGAGAATTAATTTTGTCCGGTTTGATTTCAATTAGTAAATGCTGACGTGTCTTTTTTTGCCCCATGCTCTAATGCTGATGTGGAGGCTTGAGAAGTGAGAAAACTCAACTTTATTGTATAAGATTTTTCAGTTTTGGATAATGCTATATATACTGTATGCGTCAGAGATTTGGTTGCAAAGAAAGCAGTTTTCTTAGAGAATATTATCAGACTTTTAATATTTATGAATATTTAGATCAATTAAAAATCTGTAAAGCTATTTTAGACTTAATAATGCTTTCAGATTTTGTTTTGTAATACTATTTATGCAATTCTGATGTCAAAAAAAAAAAAAAATACTATTTATGCAATTCTAGACAAAACAAACCATATGCAAATGTTAAAATCAGCAACAAAGAAAGCAGCAAAGTAACCACCATTATTATGGCCCAGTAACGTCCCACTGATACCAGGTGTGGCAGCCCAAAAAGCAATATTGTACCATACAGTAGTGTAGAGATGAAAATGATACATCACTGTAACATGATTTTTTAATGAAATGTTAAATTTATTGATCATTATATGAGAAAGTTTATGTACAAATATAATCAAACAATGACAACTCTATTGCTATGAAAACTTGCTGTGTGCTAAAAATCAAAGTTGGAGAGAGAAAACTGGGTGTGTGCTCTGAACCAAAGCTGGTGAAGTTCTCTAGTACATGATTTCTAGTTGTATTTGGTAGACATCTATTTCTCACAGTTTTGTCAGTAACCCATATAAGAGCATGCCTATCAGCTTTTTAATTTTTTTTTCTTCATTTGACTTTTTCAAAAAAAAAAAAAAAATTGGGCTACCGTCACGTGGTGAATCCGTGACGATCTGGGTTCACCACGACGAACTCTAACGATGCAGGTTCACCATTTTTGACTCGAAAAACATGTGAATCCCCCTTAAAAATTCTCAATGGGCATGTCTCTAAGTTGGCCAGTTTGGCGAGGCCTTTTAAAATGCTTCCTATCATTTATCTCCTTCCAAATCATGTAAAGGACTTCTTTCAATCTGGTAAAACCTTAAAATGGTTTTGATCGATATTTAGTGATGGGAATAGATTGATGCTTTTTGACAAGGAAAGGGAGGAGTCATCATAAAATTATTACGAACTTCTTAATTATATTTGTTAAATTGTAATTTAACTAATTTGGAACTATAGTTTCTTCTGGATAGAAGGGATTTAAATAAATTATGATCTAAGATCATCTCTAAAATACACTCTATAACACTAAATATAGAAATTTTTTCTCTTTAAAACTTCAAATTTGAAGTTTTGAAGAGTGAAACTTCATATTTGAAGTTTCAATTCTCAAAACTTCAAATTTGAAGTTTCATCTTTTTATTTATATTTGTTCATTACAATTAATTATATATTATATATATGATTTTTCAGTATTTTCTGATTTTACATTTTAATCCTTAAAAATTTTATATCTTATAAACATTTCATATTTGTTTTTATAAATTTAAATTTTACACATAAAACTTTAAAATAAGATTTATATTATCTTAAAACTAAAATTAGACTTCAGCAATATTATAAAAAAAAAATTAAAAAAAAATCTTTTTAAAAAGGTACACGAAAAACATAGTTATTGCATACATTTAAATATTACAACAATATTAATAGTATGGTAAATTTGCTCTGAAACCTTCAAAATCTCCAAAATATTGTCCAAATAAGTATTGTGTAACTGAAAATGGAGCATTAGGAAAATAATTTTATGAAATAATGTGATATTTTGTTTGTAGTTTATTATTTAGTTATATATTTCTATTTACAGTTATATATTCTAGAGTAAATATTTTTAATTAATATTATTGTTATGTTTTTCATATATGTGCTAGTTATTTATTGAAAAATTATGAATTTATATTAATTATGACAAATATAAAGACTATAGAATAAAACACAAATAGTTTTAAAGTTAGATTTAAAGTTTTGCTTTTGAAGAAAAATACATTAAAACTTCAAATATAAAATTTTGCAAATTCTAAAATAGAGTGTCTTTTTGGAGATGCTCTCGTTACAAACTTGATTATATAGTTCTGTAGCATTACTATAATGTATAATCTAATAAGGAAAATAAACAGATACTTAAGGTCATAGTCGACAATAAGAACATTGTCGGTAAAGCAAAGA